CCTTTTAAAGTAACTAGAGTATGTACATCACTTAAAATGTGAAAAAAAAATTAAAAGTACATAAAAAAGGAATGGGGAAGCTTTATGTGTGCCGAAGAACTGATATTCTGAACTGTTAAGCTTTGTCGAGGATGGCTTTTAATTGTGCAGAAGGATTAGTTTGACTAAAAGACATCTGGATTCATGTAAAACACACAAGAAAATCAATCAAACAGGTCTGTCAAAAAGGGAGGGTCATATTCCTTAATTAGCTTTGCCTTTACAAGCAATATGGAATTTTTTAAATGCGTTTTTAAATGAGTTTTTAAAAAACTCATTTGACTCATTTTGCTTTATTATTCCTGGGTCTTGAGTTTTCAGTTGGGCTAAATTCTGTTATTTCAGGGAATCCATTCGCTGAATTAAATTACTAAATTTGCAAGTGCCTCTCACTAGCTGATAACACAGAAAATAAGATGACGTCGTCTCTGTTATATCCTAAATTTCCTATCCCTTTGAAAAGTTCGCTGACAAACTGCGGATAGATGATCAAAGAAATCATGAAATTTTAACTTCGAATGTTAAAGCTCAAGCAATCTTTTGCAACTGCATTAACAGTAAGTCCCTCGTAATAAATCTGGAGTTAAAGTTTTTAGCCGACGTGTAAACGCTACCACCCTCCCAAAGGAGGAAGCATGCTCTTTCGCTTTTTCTCCGCCTTCACATATGGGGTTTAAAAGTTTGCCACGGCGTGTTTTACCAACTAAAGATTGAAAACAAAATCATCACTGTGTACCGGTCTATAAAACGTACGATTGCTTGGCACTGAGAGCTTTCATCAACTCCGAAAAAAAGCAAAAGATTATCAACGTGGCCTTCCATGAAATGATTATCTTTATCTTTCAAATATTGCCGGTCTTTTCGAGTCCTTATAAACTTTATAAATTTTCGACCTCATAGCAATTATTTCTACCAATAGCTGTTATGCCAAAAAACGATCGAGACCTAATCTTGTGGAATTTATTGAAGTTCTTGTGCGTCAAAGCCAAGCTATTAAAATTGTACGTTTTGGAGACAGCAATTTGGTTACCTGGTTTTCAGGTTTAACGTTTGCTGTTGCTTCTGTGCAGACTCTTAGGGCGGAAACGACTTTTCTACGATTATTTTTAACGTTTTTAAGCACTAGAAGGTCCAAATTCCAAAAATCCAGGAGTCCAACCCTTAAATGATTATTCCTAACAGCGAAGTAGGCGTTGGAATTGGAGATAGGAGATCAAGGAGACAACGTTGTACAAACAAGACGTCAATTAAATTTTGAGATAGTTTAGACTTCATAGTCTTGCTGGTACTGAATCGGCTACTGGGATAACAATCAGGCGGCTTTATCCACATTTGGTAAGGAATTCATGGTTCTTAGTTAATTCTCAAACATCGATTTACCTCAGTGCAAACTTATATTAGTTAACTCGCTGACATATATAATTTATTTGGTGCATTTTTAAAAGTTTCAATTATGGATACGTGGAAAAATGAAGTAACTTAGCTTGCCATTATTTATACTTGTCCAAAAACTGTCCGTGACTGAATGCATTTTTTCTTAATTAACTGAGGTAAAATTTTGACGCCATTAAGACTTCTATTAACCTAAAACCAAGGAATTTGCCATGCAAAACTTACTTTACAAAGGTTGTTACATTTTCCGTTTACGTGGGCAAACCGCGCTGGTCGGTCCACGGGTTGGCAGATGGTACGGAAAATTCAGGACTAGTAAATTTCGCCCCGAAATCGCGTTTACCATTCATTGTAAAAATCAGTTCCATTTACCGAAAAACGGTGGCACAGGCCCGAAACTGGTATGAACCTGGTATCAAAAATGATTTTGAAGAAATGGAACACGAATTTGCGATTGGAATATTCCGCCCGGAAAAATAGGACAGTCCTTTTCAGATGTTCCATAGCTCCCGGGACTCTTGCTGGAACGACCCAACAAGCCGTATTCCATTCACTTTCCAACCGGATTTTCCGGAAACTTTTTGAGAATAGTAAACAACCGAGGTCTTGCTGATACTCCCGTTTATTTTCTTCAAAACGGAAAGGGTCTCGACGAAAAGCCAACAAAAGCCGTTGATCGACCGAGTGTTAGCTTTTGAAGTCCCCGCTTTTTTTCGCCCTTATCAAGCTTTGGTCATTTCACATGCTTAATTTCTAACGCCGTTTGGCAGACTGCAGGAAAATGGTCATTACAGCATGTGCGTTCAGTTAAAATTTCTAGCTCAAACCTTGCCGATAAATTCACATTAGCTAAGATTAAAAACTCATCAAACAAAACAACTGTAGTTGAATTGGCATCGGAGTCATAGCCTTTAAAACAGAAACAAAACTTAGCATAAGCCAAAGGCTCGTTAAATCACTGTCTGCAAAAATATCATCGATTTATAAGTCCGGAATTAAACAGCACTAATTTCTTTCACTAAAAGACGTTCAAATACGCAAGTATATGGTTTAAGCTTGATGGAAAGAAAAACACAAATACACACTGATAAGAAAACCAACGACTTTCTAGATTATTCTGGCCTGTGATTCAGTGATAAAGGCTTCGGAGTATCACAGTGTAAAACGTTGGATATGTCACTCCACGCAACAAAGCTGAAAAGAGGGGAACCAAAACAAATTGACGAATTTTGTTGCTCATTTTTTGAGATGTTTAAAACTTCTAAAAATTCGTTATACAGTACATTATTTGTTGCCATGAAGACGGGCACACACGTGCGGAATTTTGATTAACCCAGTCTTTTGAAAACAAATGTTAGTTTTGAGTGATGACATTAGAAAGCCATTTGCCCCTTTTTTATCTGACTTTTAACTTTAGCCGTTTACCGAAAACATCATTTTTTCATGAATGCAGTTTTAATGTATTAGGATAAATGGACTGATTTTCCCAGCAGATTAGAGCGCCAGAAAAAATTCAACTAACCTTAATGCGAAAGACTGAAATCCAAGAAATACTGTTTAAAAATAATATAGCTTCGATTTCAAACTTAGCGCGGAGGCCTGTTGTCATGTACGTACTTTATCAAGACCATTAAGCCCTCTCTGGGCTGGTTTAATTTAAGGGTGTTGGCTGGATTACCTTCTAAAAGATATTTCTCTTCATTTTATTTTTCCAAAACTATTATTTTTCTGAACCTTTTCTCTATGACGATTTTACGATCCCGTACCACTTCGTTTTTCCTCAACAAAATTTAACAAAACTTGGTCACAATTAGTTGGCACGACAGCAAATTAAAATATAATGTCAACAGTTGCATACGGTCAGTTTCTTCTAAAAAAAAGTGGAATTATTAAAGAAAAAATCATAGCATGATTTACTAGTCTTATCGCTGAGTTTTGATGAATCTAACGGTTGATCTAAATGGTTAGAAAAAGCTAGGTTGACGCCATATTGTTTGCATATGGTGACGTCATTGATCCCTTCTATAGGGTCATCTTCTATACATATAACATGTCAAAGTCTATTTGTTAAAAGAAAAACTACTGCAACACAGTGGAAACCTTAATAGAGAGGCCAGAACCCGTAAGAGAGGGGGGGAGGAGGTAATTATAGGCACTTTCTTTCACTTAGCTTTTTAGGGTTACTTTTTTTTGGTACAACTATTGGGGTTATTCCTCCTAAATCTCAAAAACCTCTATTCCATTACTCATCTCTGCCGATTTTCTGGAAATGTTTTATTATTATTCTTTAAAACCAAAATATAATGTGTCTATTAGCTTGTATTGCAAGATTCAGGGGCACCCAACATCAATTTTCGGAAAATATCTGTTCGGAAGACGATTTGAGATCTAGAGTTTTCGGAACATCTGTTGTAAAGTTTATTGCTTTCCTGCCTCTCCTAGGATTTTCGAACATCTAAAAAATGGTATAACGTCCCCTTTTTTCTGCGAATTTTTACCCAGAGGAAGGTCACCCAGAATTTTCGTGAGCCTTTTTTCTCGCTGAAGTTTTCGAAAAGGTAAGTTTTGATCCCTATAATTTTCGCATCACTAGACTTTCAGCTAGGAAATCCGAACAGATGAAAAATTTTTAGGAGATAAAATATGCCTATATCTACCGTTTAAATACTAAAATAGGTTTAACAATGCTATGTTTACGTGGTCTTGAACTATATTCTCGTTGGGTGTATTTGTGTTTTCTAAGAGAAAGGTTGATAGCGTTAACATCCGACCCTCTCCAAATGCAAATTGTGGATCAAATATTCTAGAACTGAATAAGTGAATTTAATCATTTTCCAAACTTGAGGTTTAACTATAGAGCGTCTTCACATGACGTCAAGGCAGCCATGCTGGCGTTCCAAACGTGTTCCATAGAGTGCTACCACTGTGGTACCAAGCTCAGTCCCCAACCCCCAAGAATTACAAAGATTGTCAATGTATGGTTTGCAAATAAAAAACCACACTAGAGAGTTTTAGATTCTGAGACGAGGACGACTACCAGTATGAGATATTCTTAGTTCTAAGTCGTGCTCTTGCGTGAACCAACGTCATTTTGGCGGGAAAACGTGATAGCTGTCGTCATTCTACTACGAGTTCCAAGGAGAATGTCGAAGTGGCGGGAACAAGTTATCAAATTTTAGAAGTTTAATCGTTTTGCAACGGGAAAAGGGCTAAACCTTCTCCAATAAAAATAACCGCACTAATTTTTTCGTACTCGTACTCGTTCTCGCCTTCAAATCTAAAGCTCTCTACTGTAAACACATAAGCATAAAATTCAAATGCAAACTGCCTAGGCTCTTGAGGAAACACAGCCAAATGTACACTGCCGACATGTTTAATGTTTTGCTTTTAAAGCTAAGGCGCAAAAGACAAACCCCAATCGACGCAGCTATTTGCTGCAAACTTGACTCCATTTTTTTCAATTAAATCATTTCCTGCGCGCACCTACTTACAAGTCTTTAGCTTTACCCTATGGTCTTTTTATCATTTTGAAAAATGTCATTTCCTTACATGTAGACATTTCCCATTACATGTCTCGGTTGGTAACTGCAAGACGCTGTCATCTTGAGCCAGCATGCAGGACGGAAATGTTTATTAGTACTGCTTCCAACCAACGTATTATTTGTTTATTTATTTATTTATTTTTAGTGGTCAAGAATCTACCCAAGGACAACAGCGAACGCGTAACACAAAAGGTAACTTTTTTGCTCTTTTCCCTCTCGCTCATTTTGTCAAATGATGGCGATTTTTTTCTGGAGTTGAATTCTAATATAAAAGGCTGTATAGTAGTCGCGCAACAACGGCAAGGAAATGTACAGAGAAGTGTGATCACACCTGCAGTTGTTGCTTTAACAATCAGGAACAACTTACATGGCCCCCGCCCGGGGGGGGGGGGGAAATGGGGTTAATTTTTTCTAAGTAGGTGTCGCTGGCCTCTCAGAGCCCCCCACCCCATTATAGTCTATTCTGTGGCCAATTATACACCCCATCTTAGTCAATATTGGGCAAATATGTAGTTTTCACGATCCCAACTTTAAATAGGTCATTCCAAAGAGAATTGACCCATTTTTCACTGAATGAAGAACACTTTACTTTTCACCTACCGTTCAAACATCCTGGTACGTTTGCTAACCTTAAAAATATCAAGACCTTTTTTACCCCAAAAATCAGAAAATGTGCGACCCATTGTAGTAACTCTAGTTGAAAATGCGACACCATTATAATCAATCCAGTCGTGAAAATGCGACCCCATCCAACGGCACATCCCAATTAGCCACTGAAAAGGAAGTACCCCCGGGGCATGGCACCCATTTTGTTTGGCTGCGGGCCCTGTCTCCTGTAAACTTAAGAAATGAAATTATACTCTAAGCTACTGTATAAAGCCAGCCTGCACTTTCATAAATAAGCGATCGAATTACAAGGACGTCGATGTCCTATCGAAGAATAAACTTATCTTTTCAGCTCGAAGGAATCACGATTTCCCGTTTACAACTAAGCAGGAAACTGATTTTGAGTCGATTATTTGCCCGAATTTGCGGGCAACACTTTAACCCTTAAGCCATAAGAGTGATCACGAGAATAACGGACATGATCACACAAGAAGAATTTGCTTGATATTTTATCAACTTCTCTCCACTACTTCTATAGTAAATGAATAGAGGCGACAAATGAGAATTTTAATTTTGATGTTAGGGTTTAACGGGTTGAACAGAAGAGGCAGGTGATAAACGGAGGGCTTTTTCTGGCCGTTAATTGTTGAGACTGCCGATCTGTATGTGACTGGTATTGATTAACATGCAAAAATTAATTGGAAAAAAATATAAACTTCTGTCGGTGCACCTACAGCGAGTAAATAGGGGTGAATCTTTTCTTTGACTAAACAAGTGATTAACCACAGATTAATTTTGCGGTGCAAAAAGAAAAACATGCATATCCAAAAGCACAGAAATAAGCTTTATCCGCTGCTTATGATAATGCAATCAAGACCTTTTGTCCCATAAAGCCAAGACCTGTATCAGTTATTTTCAAACCGATATCGTTCATTAATCCTACGGGCTGAAGTTGTGGCCTTGAATTGTGAAGTTTAAACAGCGTGTGGGATTTGCACAAATTTAACCAATAACCAAGCTTGTTTTTAATGGAAACACATATAGTCTTCCTCAATTGTTGTCTTAATGTATCCTTTTAAGTGATGTTATCAACGTGATTGGCATACAAATCAACGAAGTATCGTGTCTGTTTTTCTTCGAACACAACTTAAATTTAATATTCTCAGTCGGCTATACTTTCCTAGCTGGTTCCTAGTAAAAGGTTGTCTTGATGTCAGCTTATGGACTTTTAGAGATGATGAAAGCAGGCGGTAGGAGCCCGGGGGGGGGGACTCCCATATGAAGCAGACGGGGATGCTCGTCGTCTCGCTTAGGGGTGTAAATTTTGGATTTTGGTCTCGCCTAGTGTGTTCCGGGCAAAGCGCCAATATTTTAAGCCACCAAGGTCTCGTTTAGGGTTCCGCGAAGAACTTGAGATTTATGACAATGCTTTTAAAAACTACTTTTAGATAAAAGCATTCAATGATTATGTCTTTATATTATTAAAACTCATTGCATGTCATATTTGTGTGTTTTTAAGCGGTCTCTCTTAGGGGTCAAAATTTGCTTAAGCCACGCCCAGATTGGTCTCCTTTAGGGGTCACAAAAAGCTTGAGCCACGCCCTGATGGTCTCCTTTAGGGGTTAAATTGAAAATTTCCGACGAGCATCCCCGTCTGTTTCATATGGAAGTCCTCCCCCCCCCCCCCCGGGGGTAGAAGATATCTTTAACTGGAATTTAGTGGTCTTGACAATTAAGTACAAGGTTAGGTTATTAAGTTTGTGATTCATCTTTAGATTACTGAAGGCCATCATTGCAAGAATACTTATTTTAGCAAAGACTTACTGTCATTTCGAGTTTCATCCTCAACGAATATCTACTTATTTAGCCATAAAAGCTCATAAAGTTTAATTTTTTTTTATTTGACATGGTTTCACTCGAACGCCAAAAAATATAAATTAGTAATTGAAAACAGTTTTAAGCAAGAATTAAATTCAATCAATGATTATTCACATTGATCAGGGATAAAACACCTTTTTACCTTCGGAACTGATTAACTTTCGATATTTTACATTAGTTACAGTAATCTTGTTACCTCTGCGTCCTGCGTCCGTGATGGATAAGAATCCCCTAAAACGCACAAAATTTCATGCCAATTTGCGCCCCTTTAAAAGATCGATCGATCAATCGATCTGAAGATGTTTTTTGTAGTAAGAATATATTGTTCGCGTGATTTGTGTGGCTGTTGTTTAACGACGCACATTTCTTTAGTCTTCGTTGTGCTTTACAAAAGAATGTCTTTTATCAGTAAATAAAGACCTAAGCATTTTCAATTTAGGACTTATTGATTTTTGAACTGGGACTGAATGGTTCTGGAGTGGGACATATGATATGTTCACAAGATGAGTCCCAGGACTCACCATAACTATTTGTAACAAAATCACTGAAGTTATAAAGTAAGCTACGGTCGATGACAGCTACAAAAATAACCAGAAAAGAATCTGGATGAAGTAAAATTTCATTGTAATAACTAACATTAAAGGAATAAGTTCCCAAATTAACATGTTTTGTAGGCTGTCTTTAGATAAGGCACTCTAGAAATCTCAATTTAATTTGAGAAATGCTTTTATGGAAATCAAGAAAAGCCAAACTAAGAAACTATAGATTCTCTGGAGAATTTAATTAAATATGTTTTTGTACAGCGTTATTTCCCTTTTGTTTTACCTAGAGCGGGTAAATAACTCGTAAAATAAATGTCATATTAGACCAGCGGGCGAAATGTCCTGTAGAGGAAACATTGAGCAAATGTGTTCCATCCTTTCTCTACTACTAATGAGCAAAATCTCTTGTTATTGTCACGTAGCAGCGTTAGATTCGGTATGAAGCTCGACGTCTTAAACAGGCCTTAATTTCCGGGAGACAATACGAATCAACATCAGATTAGAAAAAATAATAATAACAATGATTACAACTACAATTTTGTGGGATATTAGTTCACAAGCATGCGCAGCAGTTGGTAGCTTATCACGAGTATATGCAGCCGTGTACCCAGTGACAGGTTCCTCGAAAAATGGTTAACTTTAACCCAGGATTAAGCCAAATTTTAAGCACGGTTTTCCTGTCCTAGAGCATGCAACTCGAGCTTAAAAACTAATACTGTTGAGCCTTCTCTTCGAATGCAGTAATGATAACACTAAACGTTACTCTACACATTATTACGAATTATACAAAACGGAACAAAATTTTAATCCTGGATTAGCGATAATCGGCCTTTCAAGAACTGGGCCCTGCAGGGCTTTTACCATTTTCTAAGCGAAAAACCCGAGAAGGACGCGTTTGTAGACTTACTATATCTGCGCATGGGTTAAGGCGCGCCTGTGTGCCTCAAAGTTCTTACTTTTTCTCGCAAATGTCTTGGAATCAACACACTTTAACAAAAATAAATCCTGAAAGCTCATTAAACTGACTTGCATTAAAATGGAAAACAGCTCATAGTTTTGCTGCTTTTGGTACGGCTTTACGCGTTTCTTTTATTATTACTATTATTATTATTAATGTTATTATTATTATTATTATCATTATTATTATTTTTATTATTATTATTATTATTATTATTATTATTATTATTTAAATTATTATTATTTTTTTTTTTGTGCAGACTGATCCGAATCCAAAAATCTTGCATCCTAAGTTGTCATAAAGCACTAAGTACAGTATGACAGCCAGCTATGTAGCTATTAATTAATTGTAAAGTACTAATCATTTCTGCAATTTATCTGTCCTCGAATAGCCTACATCTGTAAATGACTATTAATGGCATGGTACCCTCGGCATCATAATAATGACATACACTTAGCAAACAAATGCCCCTGCTCGAGGTATTCGGAATTTTCGCTGGTTATTAAAAATTGACTATTTATTGTCCAAACGAAATTCACGGCATTAGAAGAGGGTCTAAATATATATATTTTTTTCTTTTTTTTTTTTTTAGCCTAGCAGGTTCTTTATCAGCAGCTTCTTTTCAGCAGCTTTTTTGCGGTACAAGTGCCTTGGGCATGCGCACTCACACAGGAGACTTTTCTCCCACGCGAAAGTTTTAATGGGAACGGCTTTGCAAATGACAAATCCCTTCGAACATGCCATGGCCATGACGTAACTGACAAGAAAAGTGACAACTCAGTTAGTTTGAAACTAAAGAATCGAAACTTCGCTTGATTAACATATGTTTCAAAACTAAATCCTTCCGAGTCAGAAATTGTCAGCAATTTCTTCAACGCACTTTTATCTCAAGAAATTTACGTTTATTGATTTATTGATTTGTTTATAATCAGCTCGAGTCAAAATGTTTGACTTAGAAAATACTCTATGCATAACTGTAAGTTAAAGCTACAAACTGCACTGATATATCTTTTATCTTTACTCTTTTAATTTATATTTAATTGTGATAATAATCAAAACAGGAGGGAGATATTCTCTATAAATATAGAGAGATATTCTCCATAGATATGGATCCATAACAATGTCGTCTGAGGATTGTTGACGGTAGAGAAAGCAAGCGTGTTAAAAAATTATTGTCAGAGCCCTGCTTGGTTTTGTCTCTTCGTTAATAACCTTAGGAAGTTGGAAAGGTTCCTTAACTGAAATACAGAGCAAGACTTTTACAGAACCCGGAAATACAGTTATAATAGTTATATGTTCGCCAGTTAAAAATAAGCTGTTAATTATTAAGTAAATAACCGAAAGGAGAACAGTGTCAATCTTAAAAACTGAAATAAATCCGGTATAATACTTTTGTCAAATTCATATTGCATAGTTGGCAGCAGAGGAAGTTAGAATTCTAAAAGGCTCTAATATTGGAGGAGAAGTAAACGAAAATTTAAGTTTGTTTAGTTACCGCACCTTTGTTGAAGATTATCTCGCGTGTATCTTTTGAGTTCAACCTCTTCATAGTCATATACCGAATATCGTGATATGATTTTGAATCTACTGTCGAAAATCTTTTGGTGTTACCATTCAAGTGACATCTCTTCAGGAGTACTTTGACACGGCACTATTTATTTAGTATCTAGTTCTAACTTTTGATTCTGTAGACGAAATCCCGTGGTTTTCTAAGTTTTGAATTTGTTTTTGAAATCCTGTGGCGTTACCATTCAAATAAATAAATAATGAAAACCCTTTGGTAGAACTTTTACCTAGCGCTCTCTTTTGCTTAGGATTTAACAAAAATTCTTTAAGATTATTTTGGAGCGAGAGGGTTATTTTAACTGTGTACCAGACGATCCTTATTGGGCAAATCCCCAGTATTTTCTGTTATGATTTTCCTGTTCGTACCTTATGTTTCAAACTGAAGAAACTCTGTGTACGTCGAAAACTGAGTCGAGGGAGCCTCACGTTCATAATGCATGTCTGATCCAATATTTGTATTTCATCATTGGTTATAATGCATAGTCAAACAGAGACGGAAGTTTATACAACTTTAATATATTGTGGTATACCACACACTACAGCAAGAGAGAAAAAGCGTTTCACTGGCCGGATAGAGAAAATTACCCGAAAATCTGTTAGATTTCTTCAAGGTAATTTTGATGAACTTCACTGATATGCCTTCCCTCTGGCAGTCGTAGTTAATCCTGTTCCAGTTATCCAGCGGATATGGGTGGAAGATAAAAATAATAGGTGATGTGTTATTTCTAGTGCAAGAAACTTCTGCCGGCTAAACTTTTCACCCAACGCTAGTTTTCAACTTGATATCGCCATTTCAAAATCTACTTCAGTTATTAATCGAGGATACGCTCAGGATAACTATAGGAGGCCCACAGACTTCTTATTTAGTCGAAAGCTGTAAGAGCGAAGCGATAAAACTTTTTAGGCCTGTCGATAAAAATCATATGATTTAAGAGCTAGGAAGCAATACTGTGCTATAAAAATTTAACAGAGTCTGTTATCAAAATTAATTTCTGATTAACTTTCAGTCAAGAAGAAGTCGTTTTCTTTTTGAGAGTAAAGTTTAATGTAAACGACTTTTTACAGAAAATGAACGAAGAAAAGACAAAAAAGTAAATACTAATTAATTCATTTCCTTCATTAAGCAACTACTGAAACGCACACGCAATTAAGCTTTGAAAAGGGTACAGCAATCAAATGAGTTGCCTTTCGAACAGTCCCTTTAAAACATCTACCTCGGACCTCAGTGAAATAAAAAGGGCTAAGTTCATTAAGGTCAGCATTACAGCGGATTGTCGATTCAGCTTCATAGTTTCCAGTTTGATTCAAAATATAACAAAAACCGACTTTTGTCTTTGACGAGATCGAATGTCATGAGATTATACTGGAAATAAAATAATTAATTGTCTAGAAAAGATCGCTACAAGGTGTCGATAGCTGATTGAGTTTGTTTAGTTATGAATTTGGTTTTTAAAATGAATCTAGAATGAGATCGCATGCTGTATGGAAATTATTAATAATAGAAAAAAAAGGGAAAAAAGCGACATTTCGTTCCTTTTCAAATCTAACTAGACCTCGATAAATCTGAAAAAAATCAAAATCAGAACTAACTCAGTTTAGCTGTCTTGGCGTGAAATTCGAGCATTTCCATTTTGGTTTACTTATGACCAGCCACGATCGGTCTCAACTGGCAGATTATGTTTCGTTTTGTAGGCTATTTACAGCTGAGTTAAATGCGTGCCAACGGATTTGCTACTCCTGACTTGATCAAAACATTTAATTTCTTGTTTGGATAAAAAACAATAATAATAAAATTAAAAAAAAAAAATCAAATCGTCTAAGTCATTTTGTTAACTTTCGTACTGCAAATTTATTAATTTATTATTAACTTGGGGAGCAAGGATGGCGGAGCGGTGAGAGCACTCGCGCCTCCCACCAGTGTGGCACGGACTGAAATCCCGGCGTCAAAGCCACTCCCTTGCTCCGAGACGTTTTTCTCCGGGTACTCTGGTTTCCCCCTCTCTTCAAAAACTAACATTTTCAAATTCCAATTCCAGCAGGAATCTGGTAGGCGAAGGGCCACTAAAATCTCTAACATCGCTATTATTATTATTATTATTATTATTATTATTATTATTATTATTATTATTATTATTATTATTATTTGATATTATTATTCAATCTCGCGAAAAGGGCAAGCAGCCAGGTGATATCATGATGCATAAGCAGTCTTTTTGGCCATTATTACATGCACTGCCGGCTGAGCTCTATCCACCAACTTCTTTTAAGAAGGAAGGATTTAGTCAGGATTAGTGAATCTTTTTTTTTCCGGAGGCGCCCGATTGTCAAAAATGCCATCATTTCGATCAGAAAATGTAAATCGAACAATAAAACAAACAGCTCTACGCCATGATTCAGTGATTCCGTGGTTGAGCATTAATAATGCTTTTAAGATCTTACACGTCATTGTTCCTCTATCAATCAAGACATTGTTCCCTTCCCGGAAAAATCTCAGCCTTGTAAAATTTTTGTGATTTTTTTCTATTCGTGGGCGCTGTGTGCATTTCACCAGGGCGCCTTTTACCTCGTATTATTTCCCTTTGTCACTCTGAAATAAGGTACGTTTGAAAAAAAGCACAGTCAGTACAGGGTAACGGTTGTCTTATTTTGCATTACACTCAGTGGTTTGAGTAGAAGTTTGACCCGAATATTTCTTTCAACGGACTATATTAACTTGGCAGTTCGGAACTTTTGATCAAAAATTCGTCGCACTTCGTTTCCATTGCGAAACAATGCAATTCTTATAGCAAAATCAGATTACAAAGTTGGTGTTTCATTAATTTATTAGAACGATGCGAATTTAAAAACAAACAGCGAGCGATCAATCTTTTAGGAGCATATTAGGGGATTTGAACGTGAGTTACCCTCCTTGATGCTCCTTGTCTTTATTGTAACGGTTCATTTTGTTTCTTGTTTTCAGCGCTGTTGAACTTAAAACAACGTCCACTGCAAAAAAAATGGAAAATAACACGACGTCTGGCGTCAATAACAGCTCCACTACAAACAGCCCCACTACAAACTCCGATGAGCAGCAAAGCCAAGAAAGCGATCCAGACATGCGACTTATTATTATACTTATCACTTGCTGGATTCTTATCATCGTTGGAGTCATTGGGAATTCTCTGGTCATCGCAGTAGTAAAGCTTATTCGGAGCATGCACACTACAACCAACTATCTCCTACTCAACGTTGCGTCTGCAGATATCACCACGCTGTTGTTTATAGCAATCCAGCTGATCACATCCTTGCACTTGTCGAGATTCAGCAGCTTCCTTTGTAAGTTCATCTCCAATGGATACGTTCCTGTAGTAACCCTTATAGTGTCGTCATACACTTTCACCCTTCTGGCGATCGAGAGGTACTACGCTCTAGTAAAACCGATGACAGCATCACGCAGGCTCAGAAATGACAATGTTGCTTACGTCATACTTGGAATCTGGCTTGTAGCCGTTGGATTAGTGACGCCGATATTTATCGTGGCCGATGCTGATTCTTATGGCTATTGTGGCTTTGGCGACTCGGACAACAAGATTTTGATCTACGTTTACTGCCTGTTTACAATTTGCCTTATCATCCCCTTCATAATAATTGCAACCTGTTACCTTCGTGTCATCTATGGCATGCACTTCAAAAAAACCATTTGCAGTAATACAAGCGAAAGAGTCGATACGCGACAGGAAATAACTGAAAAACACAGACTGTTGAAAGTTCTCATATTATTGACTGCGGTGTTCTTCACTGCGTTTATCCCGTATAGTTTTCTGTTGATCATGAATTTTAGCAACATTTACTCTTCGAATGTAAAAAATCTCCGGTACAGCGCACAGTTCCTCACGCTCTTGAATTGCTCTATGAATCCTTTCATTTACGCATTCCAAAGCTTTAACTACAGACGGGGCTTCGTGCTTGTTTTCAAAAAACTGTTTTGCCGCGACAAGTCTGTAAATGCCATTGAATTACGTCAGGTGTGTAATAACAGTTCTGTGCGCACAGCGTGAGGAGTTGATACTTTAGAGGGTCCCTAAGAGATTTCTCGGGATGCGGGATTTGGCTTATTTGAAGGACAGGGTTTGAGATCTCGAAGCAAAATGGGAGTTAGATTCGGAATCGAAAATGGGCGGCTTATAGAACAACAGCGACGGCGACGGCTACGAAAACGTCAGTTAAAAAGGGAAGTCGCACTACCTCAAAATTTATCGCGCTTATTCCATCTCGTTTAATTCGTCAAATGTTGGAAACGTTTTTTGGAGTTGAATTCTAAAGGACTGTATCAAAGTTCAGGAAAAGGAAAGGAAAGTTGTTGTCCTGTGTTACCGTCCTGGACAAAACGTGAACTTAGGCACTTTCACGTTGTAGTCGTGCAACGACGGCCAAGAAATGCACAACACAGCGTGATGCACGTGCAGAGTTGTTGTTTTGCCAAAAAAACCTATTCATTTTTCTTTTTTTTTTTTTTGCCGTTCTCGTTGTCGTCGCCGTCGCCGTCGTCGTTGCGCCCTAAGCTCCCTAATATGCACGGGAACCGGGATACCAAAAAAAATTCATCGGGATTAGGATAAAGGGATTTAAGGGAAAATGTGGATTGGGATGACGGAATGAAAGACCAGTAGTCGGTACCCTTACTTTGGGGACTCGGTGTCAGAGTTTATGACGGTAAATAGATGGGCGTGGATGTCCACAAAAGGTTTCCAAATCCGATTAGATTAAAACTAGTAACAACCAAAAGGTTACGGAGTGCGGGCGACAACGATCGAAGGTCGAAACGCTTTTGCTCCATCGCTGTGCTTTGCGTAAGTTTCACGTGACAGATAGTCAAAACAGGCGTGATCAGATTACGAGTGATAAAAGGTACAAACGCGCGTGATCAAATTGCGTTCTGTACATTCCATTCATTCTTAGTAGAAGTCCAATCGAATGCTGGCTACGTACATAGGACGCATGCGTAATAACAACCTGGGGATTAGGATTACGGGCTCCTCTTGTCGCCCACAATAAATGAACCAAAATTACATACTTTACCGATGTGTGTTTTCAATTTGAATTTTGGGGTGAGCCGTTGCGAAATCTGACACCGATGAAAGGTCGGAGACCCCTCGTATAAACTCGGATACTTTATGTCATTCTCGGCAGGTGATGGTTATTCCGAGAATTTTTGGAATGTGGGACTGTCCCAGACCCGCGAGAAATTTGGTTCCAGTTGACCGAAAGATTAAACATAAGTCAATGAGTGAGTAATTGAACAAGAGAGTTGGTAAATTAACAGAAGGCCAGTAAATGAAAGAACGAACACAACACAATGTGACAATACGCAACAAATATATGTAACACTCGTCCAATAATTCATTAATTTTTCTCAATATTCGAGCGGGTGCGAATATATCAGAGATTAATTAGGTTCAAACGTATAATAATTGATATGAGTAGACTCAATTTTCGTACCCTCAATTTTGGTCACTAGGCAGGTCACGTGATAAGAACTGAAAAAAAAACTCCTGCGTATAACCAAATTTTTATCATTATGTATCTAATATATATCGGCTGTATTTATAACATTACTGATGCATTATTCTTTGTACATATTTTATCATTAACTAACCATGGAAAACATTGCCGACATCCTACAATATTGACGACATACGGTATAGCTTGGCAATTGACAATGCTTTCTTATGGAATATCTAAAAATATCCCACGGGCCTGGACACTTGATTTTCCTTAGAATGCGCAAATGAGTGTTTTTTTTATTAGGTGAACACGTAAAAAAGCCACAAAAAAGAGAAAACAATATCACGAGGTAACTCTTACGGAGGGGAAAACAAATAGTGAAAATCAATTAATACTATTACTCAGGGACAAATGTAGATAAAATGTAGAATGTAACTCAAAGAAGAATTAAAAGAGTATTCGTTAGGGAATGTGCAGACTTTTCTCTTGTGAGTCGATAGTTCCTCTACATTAAAGAAAAGACCACCTAGGCCTTTAGTTGATAAACCAATCGAGAAGCTTTGCGCTGCGTGACAACCCTTAATAACGGTTTTGAAGGAGACTTCCATGGGACCTTCAGGATGTGCTTCCAAAATTATGTTATCCATGCAGTAAATTAAGGCTTAAGACCCATGCTAGAAATTAGCAGCAAATACTGACAGGAAATTCGAACACTTCACTTTCATGGTAAAGGGATAAAGCATTTCTACAAGAGAAACTAACATACCTAGTCCCAAGGGTCTTCTCGATTTCCAATATGGCGAGCTAATAAAAACAGTAAAAAGGCACATGAGCAGCCATTTAAGTGTACATACCTCATAAAAAGATGTCCTTGCTATGTTTCTTAACGTTTCCGGTCCCATCAAGTTTTTGATGTTCTGGTTTTTAATATAAGACTAACAGGAAAACTCGGCTGTCCTCCCACGTGTCCTACACTGTCCGATGAGAAACCTCAGGAAACCTCCATAAATCACCTTCGTTCGACTCCAATCAGCTCTACATCTCCGCTTCAGCATAGAAAGAATATTCTCCTGTCCAAAAAGCGTCAGTTTAGTTCCAGACCTTAAGCCGCGGCATCAAAAAGGAAAGAAATATAACAACAAATTCGAACTTGGCGCCTCGGTCAATGTGGTCTTGGCTTAGTAGCCACGCCGCATAGTAAAATACCCTCGGCGGGGAGGGACAGGGGAGCAGATCAGACTGCTTGTTTTAACAAGAAAAAACGACCGGCATAGCATTGATAGGACAGGAAACAGAAAGAAAACATCACAAAGTTATTTATTTATGAAGTATATACACTTAAATGGCTGCCGGTGTACATTTTTTTATTTTTTATCAATACAAATGCTCAGAACTCCTCTGTTATGAGACTGGGGGTCCTGCTGGGCCTGGGAACAGTCAAAAGATTAACCACCTCGGGTTCTTGCAATGAAAATTTGGGATACCAGTGAAAACTATATACACATTTTGACGTCCGTGTAAGAGCCACGCTAGTTTCCGCTTAGCTTAAGATCAATATCACTTTTGTAACTTTTTAGTGCTCTTGAGCTTAGCAACTTTTTTAAGCAAGCAAGCAATGGCAGGCTTGGACATTTAAGCGAGCTAGGAATTCGCTAAATAAACAAAAATTGGCCAAGCAAGCAAGCGCGGTTGTATGGTTCTGGATTTGCGTTCTTCTCGTGCAGGAAGATATGGGTCCCTCTCTCCTGTATTTTCTTACGCCTTCTCCTAGGCATCAAGTTTCAAGCATTGAAAGGAAGTAGGTTGAAAATCTTACCGTTTGGATTCCAGTTTGGGAAAATCCCGGGCGGAAGAATCTTAAGAAAAGAAAAGCTGCATGTGAGATGCACGCCGAAGCTAAAAAATTTGGTGATCAGCTGTAGCTGTACAGAAAATTATAAAGCTTTCTTGCTTTATAAAATAGATAAATTTAAGATTTATAAGATTTAAGGCAATGGAAGGAGAGCTCGAAAATATCGCAATCACTGATTTTTTGTTTACTTCCGTTTCTAAAAGTTGCTAAAAATAAACTAAACACTGTTACGTCATACGAACAAAGAATCACGTGACCACCACGAAAACATACATTTAGCGCCATTTTGTTTCTGTTTTGAGTAGGTACGGTGTTGTTCTTCGCTTCAGATATTAACCAAAGGAGTATTAAGTCCTTTCCAAAGCAGATAAATGAAGTGGGAATATAAGGAAGAGCATCCCTTCGAAAAACGACGAGCTGAAGGCGAGAAAATTCGCAAGAAGTACCCCGATAGAGTTCCGGTGAGTCGGCTCAGCAAGCTTGGAATTTTGTGGTAACTTCCTGTCATCAAGTTTATCGAATTTGTTTTAAGCAACAAGGATGTTCCTAAAGTTTCCGACTCTGAGATCTTTAAATGCTTAGCTAGGAAGAAATTATTTCCATTTTATGACTGATCGATTGGTAGGAAAACAGGCGCTAAGCCTCTAATATTTTGCAAATTGTATGGCGTCAGATTTTATTTTGCAACGTCACCAAGGGGTGCAACTTATTTCCAGATCTAAGTAAATTCTATATCGTTGAGCTAAAACATACATTACTGACTCTTGTCCTTTTTGTTTGATAATTACAGTTAAAGAATAAATACCTGTCTGTGGTATGCCCCGAAAAATTGCCTACTAAGCTTAAAAAACAATCTTGCAGCTAGTCGCTTTGCTGTACAGCCTCCCAGAAAAGATTAAGCTTATGTTGAAGCTAAAAAGTGCAATAGTATTTCACTTTCGTGTAATTCAAACCAACCAATACACAGCATTACCGAACTAAAATTATTTAAATTTAATAATTTTTAACTTGAACACTATGAGGAGTTAACCCATTCGTGTTGACGCCCAAACTATGAGCATTAATAAAATAATCATTGAGAGATATGCCAGACTGACCAGGCGGCATTTGATCAAAATATGAATACTTAACAATTATTTGATGAGGCTGAGTGTCATCTTAAGAATTTTGAAGATCGAGGGGGTTGTTAATCAGCCTTAGCAGATAACACCCTCCAAGATCTCCATAATTCTTCAGATGATACGAAAGGTGAATTCATAATTGTTTTATCATTCATTCAAAATCATTCCTAGTTTAAAAACAGATGAAAGCATGCTTAACTCCATTAATGTTAACTTCATCTTCAGTTACCAGTTTATCAGGAGTTTAGTGGTTTTCAGAACTGCAAATATCCTCCAAATAGCAGACATCGTCTGTCAAGTTGTCTTGTTGCTGTTTTTGCTATGTTTTTAGCCAACAGTTTGCCTATTTCTTAAAATGTTCAGCCATGTTATGCTCATTACTTAAAACCTCATCCCCAGGTCTTCTCACCTAGCTGTTCAGTTTTCTGGCAATTATGCTGCACAGTTGACATCATTTTTGACATATCACAAAAGTCTTCCAACTGTGGTAGACAGTAGCTGGTTGTCATGTGAATGCAATCAGTAATACAGGTACTTATCCACTGGATATTTGCACAGAATAAATGAAGGGGCATGTTCAGCCTCAAGAAAATTTGCAACCAAAGTGAAGCATTCCATTTTCCTTCTTACAAAATTGTCGATAACTTATCATTCCTTATGAGGAGGAACTGAAGGCTACAATTTTTCAAAGCTGAACTATCAGACCAAAGCAACTGATCAAAGAGAATCTCCTCTGGTGATGGACTGCTTTTAATGGGGACTGGACTGGGTTTTAGGCATTCCACTGATATTCTAGCCGAAAAATTTGGCATAAATTTTGAAATGCATTTATGGGGACAATTTTTCTGAAATTTAAGCTAGTATACACAACCATTCAAATAATATTGAGTCAGCTCAAGCAGTATTTCCATGTTGTCTCATTTGAATTCCGTTTTTATTTTTCCACGGGTTTAGAGTTGAAGCATTTTCTTTGTGCATAAGTACAGTGTACAATTTACGGCATTCTGAAAATTAACCAATCAGTTGGCTAATCCTGTTCTGAAACAGTCAGAGAATGGTTTCCTAAAGGAAGGGTGCTTAAAGCATATACATGTATTTCACCCTTATACCCTTCAAGCACCAATATCCATTATATAAACAATTTCCAAACAGAAAAAAAACATCTTAAAGGAAACTTGAAGGGTCGAATTACACACTTGCACACCCAAGGCCCTAACTTGCCTGCTTTAGAATTGTGACAATTGAGTTTTTATGAGGGTTTGTCTTTTCAAATAATGACTGTCGCACTGTACAAAGAGCAAAGTACTTGGCAGTGTAAAAAGAAGAGCAAGCAGCTTGGGACATTTAAAGTGTTAACTTTGTTTCTTTGTTGAGTCCCACTGTACTGCTTTGCCAGCTCATATGTGGCTATTTATTATCATGTTACAGCATGTTGCAGAATGCCAATATAAGTCTCTATACCAGTAAGCCTTTGCATTAAAGGCTTTAATACATGTATAATCCTTTTTAAGCCTTCATATTAAAGCTTTGAATGCTTTATAAACCTTAACAATAAAATGCACTAAATTATACTCAAACCAAGGAAGGGCTGAGCTCTAACAAATGGTGACTAGTGCCGTCTGGTGAATCACTTTTGCTCAGACTTGGTCAAAGAGAAATCTTAGCTTTTTCATAGAGCTTCTATGCTGGAGTTTCACAGATGGGGCTGCTCAGGGTTTCCTACAAACCTTGTTGGAGCAAATTCCTTCAAATATCAGTCTTAAGGCAGTACCCAAAGTTTGTGATTTTTGGAACAGTTGAAATGCAGTAAGATTGTGAAATTATTTTTTTTGGAAATCCTAGCCTTCTATGTCCTTTAACACTGTTGCAGAAAGCATTAAAATTGTATTTATAATTATTTGTTTTGATCTTTTCTTTATTTTAAATTGCAGGTGATTGTGGAAAAAGCTCCTAAAGCGAGGATCGGTGATTTGGATAAGAAGAAATACCTTGTTCCCTCAGATCTGACAGGTTAGTGATTATTTTAAGGATGGAACAGTGGCATTGTAATGCTACAATCAATGATTCACCAAATAATGACCCTGTTCCAGGGCTCGAAATTAAAAGATTCCTTTGGTTGCCTTTTGGTAACCAGTTGGAGAAATCTAGTTGCCAGATGCATATTTTTAGTCGCCAGTTTGTACAACCAAAAGAATATTTGAGGTTGGTTGAAAGTGTTTAAATTCGTTTGATTATCCCAGGTCTGTTCGTGTGGGACTCATTGACATAAGCAAGTACATAAATAAGGAAACAAGAAAAACTAGATTTGTTTAACAAACTTAGAAACACAAAATAATTTTGCCCAGCCCAAATTTATAAGTAAATAAGAATTTCTATCCTCTATCTTTGACTTTATAGCAAACAGGAGCCAAACACGATTACTTGGAGAATTTGCACATACAAAGGAATCAACATGGCCGATAGCCATTCATTACCAGATCTCCTCTTTTCAAGTGAAACCACTTGCCACAAAAAGGCGTAGTAAAATTACGCAGCTACACGATCCATCAGATTTGGGGGTAAACCATCCTCGGAGACCCAGGGGCAGATAAAGGGGGCGAGGGAAAGTCTATACGGGCGGAAAAATATATATGGAACGAAGAAAAGTAAAGAATGGCGAGAAGAGCCCCTGGGGACAATGTCTTACCAGACCAGTTCCAAACGGTCGTCGCCGTTCTGGCTTCTGATTGGTGCCAGAAAAACACAAGTTTTCTGGCACCAATCAGAAGCCAGAACGGCGGCGACTGTTTGGAACTGGTCTGGTAACACATTGTCCCCAGGGGCTCTTCTCGCCGTTCTTTACTTTTCTTTGCGCCACATTTTTCCGCTCGTTTAGACTTTCCCTCGTCCCCACTATCTGCCCCTGGGTCTCCGAGGATGGGGGAAAACTGACTTTGTTTATGCGATTTGGCACATTTTTTTGATGAAAATAATGAAGCAAGATAAAATGAAAATGTTAGTTTCAACTACTCCTTTTATTTAAATCTAAGTCATAGAGAAATCTGGTCTCCAAATTGGCGACTAAACCAGAATTTTTAGTCGCCATGGAGAAAATGTTAGTCGCATTGGCAACCATATCGGTCGCTATTTTGAGCCCTGCACTGTTCTGAAAATAAATCGTTTATTTATTTGATACTCCAATAAAATGTTTTTTTCAGTAGCAATTACAAAAAAAAAAACTATAAATTTACATAAAAACTGTCCTGGTTGGTATTAAAAGAGGTAAAGTAAGTCAAAGTATAAAAGGTTCTGTGAACCTGTAAAAATTCTCCCAAGTGTGACACTGAGTCTTAAAGAGCCTTAAAGTTAATCAAACTACTGTATTCACATAGCAAGTCGCTGGTTACTAATGACACCGTTGGGGTTCTAAAATAACTGAGAGAAATGAAATGAAGGTACTGCCTTCGCCCTACAAAAGGGTAGACCTTTACATGGTTTTGTTGACCATGTCAAGAGGCAGTCCCGTCTCCAGTAGGAGACATAAATATAGTGTTCTCAGTTCAGAGTTTTGTGCTAAATACATTTGCATTCAATGTACATGTCTCAACATGTCAACAACAACGGACAGTGATATTAAGAATTATTTAATTTTCTTCTTTTTTTTTTTTCAGTTGGACAGTTTTACTTCCTCATCCGAAAGAGAATTCACTTGAGGGCTGAGGATGCATTGTTTTTCTTTGTTAACAATGTGATCCCACCCACAAGCGCTACGATGGGTCAGCTCTACCAGGAACATCATGAAGAGGACTTCTTTCTTTACATAGCGTATAGTGACGAGAGTGTGTATGGCACACAGTGAGAAAATCCCCCCAAAAATTAATTATTATAAATAGGCTTTTAAATGTTGGTCCATGAAGCTGTCTGTCAGAATTTATTAACAGCTTGAAGGTCATAAGTCCGTAATTGATATTAAATAGCCAAAGTTGAATATTGTTACATTTTGTGGTTTTATAATAGTAGGTGAATGCACACTTGGCTGTTAGTCTTAAACAAGTATATTTCTTAAGTGAAGTGTTATTTCAAAAGTAGGTTCAAACCTTTTGCAGTTTTTTCTGATGTGTTATTAACTTGTTATTAAAATGTGTGTAATCTACTGGTAGATTTTGTTTCTTTAAAAAAAACTTTGTGCAGGGATCAGAATTTTGTTGCTGGTATGGGAAACAGCAACATTCTTACCAGCATTAACAGTATTGTGAAAACAGTTGACCCAGAGAGTTTTATCTGTTATCCTTGTGGCAAATCTAAAAAACTTGATTGTCATTAAATTTAATTAGTAATTAACAAATTAAAATTTTGAAGACTGTCACAATAATAATTTTATTACTGCCTTGACAGTGGAAAATATTTCACTTTTATTTAAGCTGTGATAACCAGAAAAACATACTTTTAAAGGGATGCACTTTAATCTGTACAAGTTATTGTCCTCTTCGAAATAATTCTTGTACAGGTGTCTGCCACATAGGGAATATAGCTGTGGCAGGAACAATTCCACCTCAAAAAGTCTTAATTCTAAAATATTAAAGGACATATTAATTTCCTAGGAAGTTCGATCTTAACAGTTTGACGTATTTCAGATGAAATGTCTTAGCATGCCTTCAAAGGGTGTACACTGAAAATGTACACTGTGTTAAATATTTTTGAAGTAATACTCCATCGAAATTTTTATTCTTAGTAAAGTTTAATTTGGTGTCTGTCTTGTTATTCCCAGTTCCCAGTAACCTTCAATTTGGCAGGGGAATGATGTGATTAGTGCTGGCATCAGTAAAGATAAATTTACATGTAACGTAACCTACTGGTAAACAATTTCATTCATTCCTTCTGACTTGTCCTGGTTAGTTATGTGTCCGTTGAAAGATTTGTTTATCCTAGTGATTTTTTCGTTGATTCAGGTTAATTGTAGATACGTGGTAACAGTTGTACATGTAAATTAAATGTGGCTATAGAGTGACTTCGCTTTTGTGTTTCTTCAACCCTTTGTTAGTCCCTGGGCTTTGTCCATCTATTTATTTAATTATTTATTTATTTATTTTTTTTTTGATAGGGTGCGTCAATATATACGACCTCGCAACACATGGTACATAGCTTAATGAAAGAGAACTGCTTTTATCAAGTTTATAACTCCCTTGCAACCTTGTGCTTGATTGATATCTGCGAGCTAACGCATGTTAGCCTCGAGTTTATTTCACGGCTTCCAAAGGGTTTTGCGTATTGGATTACATTTCAGTCAACTTTTTCTGAGAGGGACACCTTGGGGACCTGCAGTATGTATCGGTCTTAGGCCTGTTTACATGGAGGTGGGGGACCCCAGGTAGGTGAGGTAACCCGCTTAGGTGGGGTAACCCGCCTGTTCATAAAATCTCTCAGTTTAATTTGATCACGTTTACATGTTAGGTGGGGTAACCCGCCACATGTTACCTCACCTACCTGGGGTCCCCCACCTTCATGTAAACAGGCCCTTAGAGAGGTGTCCATCTTATAGAGAGTCAAATAAAGGGAGTAAAGAAAGGCAGGGACCAACTTACAGAGGTGTCTGTCTTATAGAGGTGTCGGTTAAGAAAGAGTAGACTGTACTTGATCACAGATCTTTGTGCTTACCTTGCAATAGGCCTGTTGTGGTTTAATTTTATCCTTGGTGTAAATTTTATTTTCTTTTATTTCAAGCTCATTATTATACATTACCATACCCAAAAACAAAAGAAAAGAAAATTTAAACCAAGGATAAAATTGAACCACAACAGGCCCTTTGCAGCTAGCCATTCACGTGGTACAAAACCGCCTTGCTGGAGAGCAAACGTCGTACTGGGACAAGACAAACAAAGAAAATTACCATTTCAAATTATGTATGTCTTTTGTTTGTCTTGTCCCAGTGCGACTTTTGCTCTCCAGCGTGGCGGTTTTGTCCCACGTGAATGGCTTGCTGCAAAGGGCCTATTGATTCTTTGACTCAGCGATAGTTAATGCAACGAAAATTATCTAAAAAGCCGTTTTCACTGGATGTTACTAATTAAACAGGGAATAGGAAATTGAAACGCGATGGGAACAAAACCTAATTTTAACCCAAGAAATAATAGAGGTCGTAGAGCGATTTTCGTTGGACGTTGGGTTGTTACCGGGACTTTTCTATTCTCCAATTCAGCGGTACCCCTGGCCCTTTGTTTGACCAGTTGTTCAAATAGTGGATCAGTATCCACTAGATCTCTCTGTTTAAGGAACTACGTAGCTATAGGTAGCAGTTCTACTTTTTGCAACAAAATCTGTATATGTTTGTGCATTTTTTTTACACCGTGATTTCATTCAATCAAAGGTCAGTATTAACGCAACCTGCAGCAACCTGACTTCTAGATTGGCTCAGTTATTCGCTTCTCGTTTCCGGTTCCGGTGAAAGGATATCACCGAAAACAAAAAAATTCTTAGCTGGCGCTTTGCGCTCCAGAAAAAAAATTTGAGCTCGACTTTGGACAAGCCTACCTGATTTCTTGCAATAAAGGTCTGAACGTGGGTTGTAAAAACGCACAACATCGCTTATTGAACTAGATTTGCAACCACGTTTCGAAACACCAAGTTGCAAGTTTTCCCGTAGCTTTACTTGCTAGCGCCTCGGACGTACAATCCTGGCCAAAGGGGTTTGGGACACTTCTCTTACCCCTTCCTCTTTTGGTAGGAAATTGGTGAGTGACCGTCAATTTACAGTTATCAATACGGCTATACCTCGGTTTCCCCCTCCCCCTCCCCCCCCCCCCCCCCCCAACCTCCAGTTTGAAAGTTTTCCGTTGGTTTTACTTGCTGGCGCCCCGGCCTACCATCCTTGCCAAAGGGGGTTTGGGCCCTTTTTTTTCCCCCTCCCTCTTTTGGTAGGAATTTGGGGGGGGCCCGCCAATTTCCAGTTTCCAAACCGGCTTTCCCCCGGTTTCCCCCCCCCCCCCCCCCCCCCCCGACCCTGAACAAAGTTGAAGTTAAGTATAAAAATAGTCTAACTTTAAGACTTCTCAAACGTTTTTGGCCAGTAACACCCAACACTGTCCGGGGGGGTGGGGGTGGGGGTGACCGGAGAATGCACAGATCGTGTGTAAATGACTAAGTGTCCCAAACGTTTTGTCCAGGATTGTAGGTTAAGTTTACAGCAACCTTTTTTTTGCGTGTTCGTAAACCAACCACCATCCTTATAATCATACGTTTGTTGTTTTAGTTTTTATAGTTTCTCGAGCTCCGATTTGGTGGGGTTCATCGGTTTCTCAAAAAAAGCGACTTGTGGGCAAGTTTTCATTTCCTTCCTGCTTCATCATTTCAAGGTCAAAAGAAAACCGCTCTGTCTCTAGGCATTATACCCGTTTTCAGTTTTTCTTCCCATTTCCTCGATCGGGCCGCGCGAAGGTTTATTTACGTTCTCAATTTAGTTATAATCTAACGACCGCTTTCATTTTTTAAAGATAACTTTTTCAAACGCTAATTTTGTCCAATTTTTTATTATTATTATTTTTTTATTTAGCAACTAAACTATGCTTGAACTGGAGAGAACGAAGAAAGTTATAGTACTCGCGGCCGTTCTGACGCAGGAAAAAAAACGTTCTTTTTGGATCGTTTAAAAGCATCGTCCTTACGGAAGGAAAGTTTTAAAACCATTTAGGTACAAGTCGAATAGCTACATTTCAAGTTCACTTTCCCTTCGAGCAACGAGTCCTTTATGAGTATCACGAGAAATTGCGCACCGATGAATAGCTTGAACCTGAGAATTGGAAGAAATGTTTCTCTGGTCAAGGTCTGAGCTCTGGTTTGTCTTCGCGTGAAATCCTTCTGCAGAATTCTCAGTGAAAACTCCGTCTTGCTCCATGCCCTCCGTGGGCAATTCATCCGAGAACAACTCTCTGCTGTTTGTACTTGATATCTTGGTGCTTAATTCATCGGAAAAGGTGCTTTGCAAGTCCTCCTTCATATATCCGCTTGGAGACCTCGTTGAAGCTTGAGTGGTGTCCGGCAGTGCGGCGAAGGGAACAGACTTCCTGGAGTCTATGGTGTCTAAGCTGTCGAAAGTGCACTTGTACTTGCCTTTTCTTAATTTGAACTGAAAAAGCCCACCTTCGTTACGTTTGGAGCTTTCGCTCAAAAATTCTTCGTTTTCGTCAGAATTCCGCCGTGGATCTTCGTAATTACTCGCGTGAACATATTTAACTTTGGTTCCTCCCAGCGGATGAGAGACATTTACGCCCATAATTTCCTAAGTGGAAGATCTGATATCAGCCAAGTAGGTTACTGTTTTCCACCAATGAAAACAATTTAGAATTTTCGTAAAAGCGCGTCACAATCATAATGTAAGAATCGCGCGCTTGAAGGCTTCGAGCAATCCGGCGTATGTTTTCTTACGTAATCGGAGTGGGAACGGTTGTAACATGGATTTCCAAAATACAAAAAAATCTGATATCGTTAACGTATAGGTTAGTGTTTTCTCCAATGAAATCAGTCGAGAATTTTCGTTGAAGCGCGTCATAAGGAACTTAAGCACCAGACGTTCTTGGTACCACGGACGCCAACCGGAAGTATTTTTGCAGCATGACAGCCACTGCGCATGTCAAGACATTCTTGAGTTGCGGTCACGGACTTCAAAACGCGAGATCTCAGGTTGAAACCAGAGGTTCAAATTCTGGGTTTTTCGAAGAGTATTCGTCACACAAAAGTAGCAATTTTTCGTCCGAAATCATGTTTCTTCGTAAGAAGAAAACAAAACTTCACTCAAATCTTTGAAAGGCATTTTCAACTGAATTATTTTGTCGGCGTTCGTGATGGTTTCAAGTTGTTTTGCTTAAT